AGATGCATTTTTAGCACATGAACATTAATGTCTCCTAGCTGGCGAGCATCTATCTCATCGTAGTCAAGAAAAGGCAATTTTCTGGAATGGCGGGTAGGAGGCTGTACTGACGATTCCCACACCTACCTGCATGCATAGTCCTGTCTGTGTTTACAGCTAAGGGATGAAACAGAGACTGCATCGTAAAATATCACCTCACTACATCTAAAGGATAAAGGCAGTTTGCACCATATAATATCGCCTTACACATGATGCTTGCGCACAATCCTGCTGGTCTATTATTTCTAACGGGCATTGTGGTGCTTAAAACACACAAAGAGCGGAGGGGAAGGGGGGAGGGATTATAATCGAAAATCAAAAAAAAACCCCGCTTAAACGATAACGGACCTTTTTACGATATACGGATGGGTTACTTCGGCTATTTCACGCACATTTAGATACAACAGTATAAGCTGCGGGACGTAAAAATCCACCATTTCTGACGGTAAATCGAATAAACGGTTTCCTGCAATCAAAATCTGTCCGTAGAACACGATTACGTAAAAAAATAAGTTAACTTCAAACCAAAAAAGAAAGCTATGAAGCTAAAACTCCGGGAAATGTATCAGTTACCTAAAAATCAGGGGGGAAGGGACGTGGAGGGGGGAGGGGAAGAATCCGGAAGTACCATAACTTGAAAAAATAATAAGCTATGGTCCTTAGAAGGCCGATTTGCCAAATTTCGCAGCCTCGTTCCCTAAGACTATCGAAATAATTAAACCATCCACGCGGATTATTCACCCTCAGTAAGTACCAGCTGCTGAAAAATGACATTTCTTTTTTACTTTCAAAGGAAAACAAACCAGAACTGAGATATAAAAGTGAGGGGAGGGTAAAACGATAAGGATCAGGAGAAGTTTGAGAGAGGAAAAAAGAAGGGACAGGAAAGTTCGTATGTTTAAATAAAATATTTTCGAATAAAGTATATTTAAATAAAGTATATTCAAATTAATAAAATATTCATTTTTAGATAAATATATCCCAAACTCTGCAACAAGATCTTTTTTTCGGTGCAAAAACATTAGAATGCAGATTCTTCGACAAATAAGTAACATATAACATCAAGAATACCAAAAATGCATGGATAATCGGTGTGGGTATCGCATCTCAGTGATGTTATTGGGATAATCCTACATGGTGAGTACAGCAATGCCAGGCCTTTCGATCCTGAACCGCATACTACCAGTTAGTACTTATCAACTTAATTTCGATTAAAATCAAAAAATCAACTTAATTTCAAATCAAATCAAAAATTCATTTTCTTTAAAAAGCGAAAAAAAACATACCTAAATAATTTAAAACACCTGCTTCTTTATAGCTTGAAAGATAACGTATTGCAATTCGTATATCGAAAAGATCCGATTCAAACAGTCTCAGAAGCCAACTGCGATTGCTTGCCGCAAAATACGATGCGTTCTAGGAAAGAAAAAAAGCACATTATCATTAGCCAAAATCGCTAATACAATAATTTATGGGGCGTTTTCATCATTGCTTGCCAATCAAAATTAACGCAAACATTGGGATAATCAATAGAGGTATTCGATGCTACTGATATCACAGGGACGCTCCTGTCTGCCGGCAGCAGAAAACTGCTTCGACTTTCGCAATACATACAAAACTCTTTTTCGCATTAAGCACTGCAACCATCATACTGACGAGGCCTTGTCGTGCGGGATGTTGAGTTAAAGCGTATATGACTTAATGGACCGAAACATCTTACCTCATTCTTATCTCCCATTCTCATGCTGTAATCTATCACGCCTTCGCCACCTGGGCTTCCCAGGGTCAACCTGTTTGCTACAGTCGGCTTAACAGTAATCAAACACTGATCAGCTTTTTTTGTCTGTTCTTCAAAAAAACAAAAAAAAAAAACTTCACAACAGATGATTAAGGTATTTACTATCTACTGAAGCGCTTTTTGCGTTTATTTTTTTGCGCTTCTGGAGATTCTACTATAAAAGCTTAAATCCCTGATATTACCCCATCCGTCGACTTCAGGCATGACTCCAAGTTGGACCCATATATCAGTTTGCCCAGAAGCCAAACCTACAGGGGAAATTTTGCACCAAAAAACACATGCTCACGCTGGCTTTGTATTCCAAAGTTAGTATTAGTTAAAGAGAAAGTAACACGTAAAGAAAGAAAAAGAAAAAAAAGAAGGGAAAAAGGAAAAAGAGAAAATGAAAAAGAATCATAATTTTTTGAATTTTTCAAAAATTATTTTTATAAAAAATGCATTACTAAAAATGTATTATCAAAAATGTATTACTAAAAATGCATTACTAAAATGTATTACTATTAATTTTTTTTAAATTATTTTTAAAAAAATTATTTTTCAAATTGTTTTTCTAGAATCTAACACATTAACATTCTTTAAAATTATTTTTTAAAAATGTATTTTTAACATTTTTTAAAACTTTTTCAAAAAATTGTTTTACTTGGATCTAACAAAAAGTACTTACTTTTTTAAAATTGTCCTGTCTTGAAGCAGCAGCAGCAGTACTGCTTTTTTCCTCGTTTTTATTGGTACCACTAACAGTAGTATTAGCAATATTATCGTTTTCCCTCATATCCGGACATTCTTCTTCTTCAGCCAGCTGCATTTCCGCCAACACAAAGCTCGGTGCAGCAGCAGCAGCA